CATTTATCCAGGAAAAGCATAGCATCTATCGCGGTCACATTTTAAGAGGATGGCATTCTTCTAACCGTGTCTTTAATAATGGCCGACTAAAATTCATTCAAGATCTGGCAGTTCATGTCACAGTAACTGATCTCCTCATGCAGTGAGCAGCGTTTCTACGCTGTCATTAGATTACTGTGATGCAGCCTCGAAAGCGGAAGACGGTAAACAAAGAATTTTTACGCATGGCCGCTTTTGACGCTCTGGGCAAAAATTAACTCCGGTAGTGCTAAATGATCCGAAAATATACAAAGTTGAAAGTATGATTCTTTTAATGGTATTCATGTAGTTGATCTTATATAAAACTTCAACTAGTTAATACCACCGGTTTACAGCTTCACTCATTGATTTCCTAGAGACGGAAAAAACTGACAAACGGGCAAAATTCAGGGCGTAGATTTCGCTGTTTCTCATAATTCAAATTCATGCGTGTTCAACGAGAGCCGGCAAATTCGCTCTTAAGCTCGCATGACAAAATGAAGTACCGCGAAGTGTAAACTGAGGAACAAATGTGGTAATCAGAAGAACGGGTTCTGTACCCTCAAACAGTCAGCCAACGAAACGGTAGTCTCTGGAAATCACCATCTTAACCGTTCAACAGAGTTCTCCTTAGGAGAAGAGCTTCCTTCACACCCGGGCGAAATCACTGATGATAAAAGCTGTTTATGGGTCTGCTGTGATCCTGAATTTGGCACAGGGATGGTTGCTAATTATGTTGCTGTTCAAGCCACTAAATAGCATTCTTCATTCGTCCAGACGGTTCGTCCCATTCGAACAGCGATCTTGGTCAGCTGGACGGTAAATATATCTCAGCAATTTTCTTATTTTTAGCCAACTGGAATACCAACAAGTCGTGGATGGATGATACAAAAAGTGACTGAGAAAAGAATGTATGTCATGGAGTCTGGATGTTTTAAAATTGTCTTTCTAATATTTATACAACTCGTTAATAAATGCCAACAAAAGTGGAATATGTTTTGCAGACTGCGGTAGTGGCGAACATTGATTCACTTGAACATTACATAATCGTCCGCATGTATATGTTGCCGATCAGACTTGTAATCGCTCCATAATGGTATAGACAATCTAATTCATTGTTCGATTCAACCGATGATTCGTGATTTCTCCCACATTCATGTTACTTTTGTCTTGTATCGTCATCTGAGGCTAGCAGACCTTAAACGGCATAATTTTCCTGATTTCTTATATTTGTCCGTTAGAAATGGCACTTGAGTTTGATAATGGACAATGTTCCCTGCTGCGGTAAAGCTCATGTCACGATTTGCAAAGAGGTCTGCTTCAGCGAGGTGTTTCCACACTCTATATTGTCATCCAACAGTTCTACGGTCAGCGTGCCATCCGCAAGAGAAAGATTTTGAACATATTTCCGTTCTTTTATATTCTGTTTTATGAAACCAAGTTATTTGCCTGTCCCTGAGTTCTTTCAGCCATTTCCTCAGACCGGTTACCATCATTACCTGATCATTTATGACCCGGTGGTACCGTCACACTTTGAAGATGATGTGCAAGCAACGTGTACTATATACATACCGTTGGAAGCTGTTCTAGGCGAGTTTCATGGCGCTTCACGAGGACATGGAGACCTATGTGAACACCACTAATGCGTAAAATTTTAAAATGGTGATTTTTGTGTCTGTTGTCATTGTCTGATCCTTTCATACAATATCAAGCTTAACGGAAATCGCTGGTACCAGTCAGATACGCTGGCTCACTTCAGAATGAATGTCGTAATCATAATCAACAGTTCTGGAGTACTTGAAATGCACCACTTCGTACCCGCAATTCCATTCGATAATATTTTTAGACGGCTGTTCGGGGGGAGGGTGCTCTTACAATCTTTGTCTGTTGGTTGTCATTTGTAGACCCATTCTCATTGCTGTGTTGCACACGCTTTCCTAGTATGTCAGCATGCCACTCTTGGAGTCGCTCAGTAGCAAGACGTCATCGGCATACTCAAGGCCCATTAAAAATACAGCCAGGGATATCAAGTAACAAGTAAATAGGCAGATACAATACAGACGCAATGTGAAAAACACCAAAGTAATACAAATAGCTAAAAGCAGAATAGGTGTTGAAAACGATGATAAGAGCACCAGTGTCACCGATGAATTATGTAACAACGATCAACTTGCTACCTCGCTACCACCTTCCCATACCCTGTTGTTACTGTTACCATTAAAACAAGCCTCACATGGGAAAACTTTTTATGGAAACGATGCCATTGCGTGTACAAACAGATCAAAGGGTTAGTTCAAAATACTGCATTCCAATGCTCATAGGTGTCACTCTCCAATAGCGTGGATGATTCTTCATGTGACATAATCTTTAGTAACATTTTTGCAGCTCCCTGCAACTACTTTCCAAGCAACTGCCGCGTCCTCCTTACATTTTAATGATCAGACATCAGGAACAATAACAGTTTACATTGGTCTCCAAGTGAGCAAAACATTTTTGAGCGAAGTCCGTGACCATCATCACGAACGAACCAAAATTTTTCCAGAAAGCACATGAAGGGATGAAATCAGAAACAAGCAACAAACACATGACGGCAAGCAAACGTGCACCAACATACGAGTTTAGAAAACTGCGTAGACGCACACAACCTCTTTTGGTGGACAAAACACGGCGATTTAACGAAAGTACCATTTGAAATGCGGCGCATAACTCCTACGAGACAGAATTCATCCTTCTTGTTTGGATAATTCATACAATGCAAAGTGTGACTAACGAATTGCAAGTGAATATCAGATCTTTAAGGTGAATGTTTGAAATAAATGAAAGAGCGAAACCAAGGTGACAACACTGATAGGTAGACTAAGGCTTGAGACCCAACCAAGAATGCAATATTAAAAGAAAGTAAATCGTTATGAAGCGTCATAACAAGCAAATGCGCTGCCGAATTACAGGCGACTTCGACTTCGTATCTGAACGAAAGAAAAAGAATAGCCGTCTATAAGTAAAGGGGCGGTGCAATCTGCTGCTGGTTGTAAAGTGAGAAATTAATTTTTCTTCCCTTAAACTGTGCATTCGCTGTGTGAATCCGTCATCATTATTATTTGTATCGCGAAAAAGAATGTTTCCTGCACACGTTTTTTCATAAGCATTCCAAAGTCATACGTGAGAACCCATAACACAGTTGTCAAGTGGGGTGTCCAGATTTTACGGTTCAGCTAAAGCCTCAAAACAGCAAATGGTACAAGACAACTTCGTGTAAAACAAGTACTTAGCTTAATTGGACGTCTCAGAAAAGACGACCCTCTGAAGCATCATACGATGTACACTATCTAACGGAATGCATAGATCGGCCACAGTACCGTGGGTTATCCGTGTTTCCTTTACAAGCCGCCACTGATTTAATTTCCCTGCTCTTCGCCTCTTGTCCGGGGCTCCTTGTCCTCAAGACCAATAATGGATTTCGCGGATAGCGCAAGAAACCCGTCCTTTGCGCGTATATTCAACTTCTAAAATGCTCCGCAAACGGTCTTGTCTCAGTAAAAGAACGCATACAACCGTCAGCTATATTCGTTGTCGCCTTTTTCCCCCACCGATAGGGAAGCACTGCTGAATGTCTTATCGTAGGTATGCACACTGTACAGACACGATGGTAAACTTATCAGCATTCCATCTACTTCCAATCGAGTGATTCCTTGTATTTCATCTGATAAAGAACCATACGGTACTTCATTTCAATCAGTTCAAGGTATCCATGACTGCTTATCCTCTAGGGTCGCGGAGGTAAGCGCGCCAAACGACGTCTAAAAATTTACCGATCCCCAGTCAGCGTTTGAGCTTATGCAGACAATAACTTGAGTCTCGAAATTCTTTCCCTACACTTGCTCAAAATTATTCTTGGCCGACTCGGGTCTACTGTCGATCGGTTCCGCCTTCCCTTCTGAAAGAACTCGCAGTACACACAAATCGCCGCAGCTGTGATCTCTTAATCTGGAAAAGCACGGAGTTGTGCATAATGTTTCACATTTAATCATTTATTGCCTGTACTCATAACTGCAGCAACGTATAAACCGAAAGAGTATTGCACTAATATGATGGCCAAAGAATTCCATTCTTTAGGTAGATCTTTTCTAGCTTTAACCAGCCAGGTGTTTGCTGAAAAAAATACAGCTGCCTACCGATTTGCTAAACGTGCTGTGTTTATTCACCGGAAACTGCTATCTTAATACCCATGACGCCGATTCGCTTGATACATTTTACATTGTACTGTTCCAGATGTGGCATATTTTAGCAATCCTTTCAAGTGTTCATGTTCGTACGGTCAAGGGACCCTACAAGATTGACTGTCAGAGGATTTTCCAAACCCGCATTATGCATATTTAATCGATGCCTCCGCCGTTGCCGGTTCCAAACCCGGCTGAGAACAGAAGAGGATTGGAGACCGTGGCGAAGTATCCGTAAAATTTCGCCACCTGCCACTAATGGTATTGACGCCATCGAAAATCATACCGGCTCGGTCGTCGCCAGGGTTACCAAAAGCCGCACAGGCTGTTGGGGGGACTGGGGCAGACTGTGAAAAGTCGTCGATCAGAACCTGCTCATTGCCCTTTGCCAGCCGGGGGCGTAGCAGCACAACAACGGCCGACGAAGACCGACGCAACGACGACGAGGATACCAGTCAGCAACGGAGTCGCTACCCGTTTTGAACGGAGGAAGCAGACAGCGCGATGCTGTAGCCGAGGCACTGCTGAATTAGTTTTCGCGGAAAGGATATACGATCATCGAAAATGAGTGATTGATTTTTTACGCGACGCAATTTTCATTTCATTTTTCACGATCAACGGCAGTAATTTACGCAGTCGGAGGTTCGGTACACAGAGAACAAGAGACGTACAATCTCTCAACATATTTAAACATTTTAATCGAGGCAAAGTCATGTGCGTTTATTAGCAGGGAGATACTCAGCAAAGCAGAAGAAGGAAAACAGATCATTCTGTTTCCATCGCTTCCGGCGCTCCCTCTTTGTAGAGACCTCTTGAGCGAAGATACGCGTTATACTGAACGGGAATTTTCTTGAAACGCTCAATTTTCTGTTTAATCTGACCAGGGGAATCTTGGAACACGTTCTTCAGGTCTTTCGCCATGGCCTGAAATCAAACATGAACACAGAGAAAAAGACACAATATACAACCTCATAATCTTCGCCATATTTCTCCATCAAATAGATGCAGTACCGAAGATCTGTCTGAGAGAGCCTTCCACGTCTAACCGAGGGTTGCTCCTTTTCAGACTCCATACCTAATAAAAAACAAACGTCAATGGCACGAATATAATTAAAAAAATTTAAACTAAAAAAAAACAACATGCAAAAAATATCTAGGCCTTTGATAATATAATTATACATATAACATTTAATATGACGTGTTAAAGTGAATGCCATTGAACATGCGTAATTATATATAAAAATACTGCTATTCAATCGCATTTAATATAACATGTTAAATTAAATGCCACTGAACATATGCAGCCGAATATTTTATTACATTTAATATATACATTTAATTTTAAAAAGTAATTGTGCACAGCAGAACACATATTTTGGATCATTATTATTTTCATGTGCATATGCCAACACACACGAACAGGCTGCACTACCCATGCAGAAGGAGGAAAACGGCTTAATATCAAGGATATTATAGAATAGAAAACGTACTCTTGAAGCAACATCTGAAAGGCAAAGCCAATGGCAGGGTACTAATGTAAATAAAATTATCATCTTATGCTAACGAGAACAGATAACAGTTAACCGCAAGGAATACGCAAATATCGATCATCTCAATGGTTAAAGAGCCAATGAACTTCATCATCACTTCCCCAACAAGGTCCTAAAGCTATAGGCATCAAGCAGATCATTAAATGGCCAATTATAAACAAACCTGCCCAAGAAAAACGCAGAGTAGTAACTGTACATAGAGGTATTTTGCAAAGGTGGTTAGAAAGGAACTGCAAAATGTGTGAAGGAAAAGAAATACTCGTAATCCACACAGTTTCCGGTTTCTAGACATTCGCAAACGGCCTTCGTCAAAAAAGATACAGATGAGCGTAACGTAAAAGAGCCAAGTTATCAATGGCAGCAAAATGGCGGAAACATGAATCAAAAGAAGTAAAAGACAAAACAAGTATAAAATGAAAATAGTCTGGGACCTGACAACACGAACGAAGAAAGAACTTCGATTTATCGTCTGCATGTCGCACTGATAGGCAAAACAAAAAGGCTAGTTTAAATCATCGATACAGAATCATCAGGGTACAGCAACACTGTTATCAAGTAAACAAAAAAGATACCGGAATATCAGAATTTGCAAAGAGAAAAAGATGCAATCTGGAGAGCGAAAGCTGAGGTAGGATATTCGATGCCTCCCCATGGGTTAATGAGATATGACCGTAAAGTCCTAATGACGTGCTCATGAAATTTTATGAAACAATCAAGATCAAAGAACTACATAAAAATGTTACTAAGTAGAACATCTATTTTAAGAAGGATAATTTAGCTCTCTAATGCATGGTAGAAGGTCCAAACTGAAGAAAAATCTTTTGCATTGACATTCTTGAGGTAAGAACATAAAACACTATAATAAGATAAATTAAGCCAAAAATAGAACAGTGCATAAAAACGGAATTTACTCACTTGCAACAACTTCTGAAACTTTTTCACTGTTATCATCTTTTTGTGCCGGGACATCAGTACTACCTTTCAGTCGCTGTTTCATTTCGGCCTCAAATGGAATAATTTCGTAAGAATAATCAATACATCAATACATTTTCACAAAGATCGTCGTATGAAATCATAAGCAAAACAAACAATGACAGGCGGCCGAGAATCGATGTACTTAACGATGTACAATGGAAATACCACCATCGATATACGATTAAAAAACCATGTACAAAACAAATTAAACTTTACACCTTAGACATGTGAAACTAACGTTTGGGAACGGCTGCGAAATATATCACAAAACCTGTCACTTGTCCCTCAAGGTAATGATGCTATCGCACGCTCTACCGGTTCAGTCATCATTCGGGTAACGAATGACTGCGAAGGAAGTTGGGCAATAAAATTAAACTGCGAAAGGAAACTATTTCACGCCTTCTAGCACAGGAAGGCGCACTGGCACGGAGTGACCGCCGAATACCTAAACGAAAATGACAAAGGTAAAGTCAACAGTAGAGTAGAGTACCTACACATTAAGAAGGGATGAGGCAGACAACGCGAAGCGACATTAGCACATCATGTAACTCCACGGGAACGATACCGACTGTGGGAGCTTACAGTTACAAACTGGAATATATCCACACCCAGAGGAAAAGAAAAGCAGTTAGCCGATCAGTTCGCAATATACAAACTCGACATAGTCGAACTCGCATCAGCAAAGTGTTAAGGATCTTCAATATCAAACCTCTGCGGGTGGAAGCAATTCTACTAAGGTGTCGATATCACGTCGAGCGCTCAGCGGCGTGACGATGTTCTGGCAGAACCATACCTGGCCGAGAAAATCGCTGAATACAGCCTGTCAGCGGAAAGGTGGCAATCTTCAGACTGAAGCTACAACTGGCTAAAACGCTGAACTTGTTACAGGTCCAGTTTCGAGGGAGAATCTGATACCTTCCCTGAGAAAGTGCAGTGAGCTCTGTAGTACGTGCCGAATACAGAGTCCCTCACATTCATCAGCGAATTTAATGCGCATGTCGGAATAGACGCTGAAAACTGGAACGGCGTGACT